TGGGTGACATTCTTTTGGCCTTCATGCATGCTTCAGGCATAGCAAGCCAGCATTTCTTCTGTGATGGGCTGCAGTGGCTGGATCTTCAAGAAGTTAAATCTGTCTCTGTTCATACATGCCTATTCTCTGTCTTCTTGTCTCATGCATGGACATAGCTGGTGTTGTCTCAGACTTGTCTCTGCATATTGCTCCTGCTCCATCAAGAGCCTTTGTTGAATTAGCGAGGCATTCCCTCTGCATGGGTGGAGCATTAAAAGCTGAGCCGCCTCAGATAAATGCAGTTCCATGGAAGCAAGGCTGGACTCCCTCAGTCTCTTGGACCAAAAATAAAAATCTTTCTTCTGGGAAGAGCATAACCAGAGTAAGCCAGCAGTCACTGTGTAGATGCCCTGCTCTTAGAAAAAATAAATGAAAAAAATCTAGATTTCCTCAATGAAGTTATTTATTATTTAACTATTTACTTTTAGTTTCATAATAATTTTAATTTTCAAGTAGTTTTAAATTTGCAGAATGAACCCAACCTAGTTTCTTCTGCTATTAGCCTCTTACATTAGTGTGAAATAAATTTCTTATAAATAGTACATCAGTATTGACATGTTATTATTTACAGAAGTCCAAATAATGTTCAGATTATTTTGGCTTTTGCATAGTATTATATTTATTAAGCTCCAAGATCCCATTTGGAGCACGACAGTACATCTTACAGCTTAGTTATGGCTCTTAGGTTTCTTTTGGCAAAGGCAGTTTCTCAGTTTTCTGTGCTATATAACTGATAGTTTTAAAGAGTATTAGGTATTTTGTAAAAGCCTTCTCAACTCAAATGTCTGATGTTTACCCTTTTTTTTCTGTCTGGGGGGCCAGCCTCCAGCAGCACAGGGCTTTGATAGGAATCCTGGAGTTGACCAGGCTAAACTTTTCTATGGGGGGATTAGGGAAAAAGGCACTTGCAAACTCTCTTGATGGTTTCCTTCTTTATATTCTCTCTCTCTCTCTCTCTCTCTCTCTCTCTCTCTCTCTCTCTCTCTCT